AGACCAGTGTAAAAAAAAAAAAAAATAGAGCTATTTAATCATGGAGCTGGTACCAAACCCAAGATACCCACACAAGTGAAAGAATAAACAAAGAAATCCTCATCATAAAATTAAAAAGAGAGTTATACATTTCAAGGCTGCTTTGAAAGGATAGGAGACTTGCTATGAAAGAATGCATAATAAGATGATCTTCCTTTCCAGGTTAAGCCAATTGATCGACAGCAGACAATATTATATCAGTCTTATTTGTAGAGTATTTCAGACTAAAAAACATAACACAGCCCTCCACTCCCAGATAAGTATATCTCCAAAAATCTTTAAGACAATCGTGACTCTCAACATATACTCACTGAATAACAGTGAGCTAGTACAGGAATTTGGCATATAATTGATCACTTGAGAGCCCTGAGGTTGTTGCGGATTTTTATTTTCTTTCTTGGTTTAAGGATGTGAGGAAGGGATAGGACTAAAAAAGGAAAGAATGAATTTTTATCCTTCAAAATGTGGTCGAATTATTGCTATGACTTTTGAGCCTTTTCAGAGCTCTTTAAACTTAGATGGATTATACCAGTACCTTCTATTCTTTTTTTTTTTTTCCCCTGCGTTGGCACTGGAACTCCAGTATAAGTAGCAAAATGAACAACAGCAAGAAATGTTATGAGCAAGTATGTCAACTTGCGAGTAACACAAATATATAAATAGCACATTATGTATGAGTTCTCTTGATAAGCACACTTCATTTGAATGTGTTTTGTTTTGATGGTTTTAAACTCAATAACCAGCATTTAGGAAAAGTTAAACTTTCTATATAATTAATGGTAATGATATTTACAGTATGTTTACTACTTTGAAACTCATTCCCAAGAGTCATATCAGAGTAACTACTTGTCTTTATTCCTATAGTACAAAGGCATGTGAATGACATATTCTTAAGCTAAATCCTGTTTTAAAGCTAAATCCATGTTAACCTGAAAAGAAAAACTTGGAGTTCCCAAAGAAAACTGGAATCACTTTTATAATATTTGTACTAATGTATCGTGTTTCACGCAGAGCTATATACTAACCACTCACAATGAGACATGTTCAAGACACTC